AGACCTTTCATTTGAGTACCTACATCAATTTTTCATATATTTATATATATTAAATATATGTATATATGAAAAATATATCAAAAATGTATGTGGGTACTCAAATGAAAGCTCTTGATGAGTGTAACATCAAGATGAGCTTACATCTTTATAAATATCAATAATTAAGAAATGACCTTGTATCTTGAGAACTATTGACATTTTTAAGGATATAAGCTCATTCTAATGTTACACTCATCGAGACCTTTCATTTGAGTACCCACATCAATATTTCATATATTTATATATTTTATATATATGTATATATGAAAAATATATCAACAATGCATGTGGGTACTCAAATGAAAGCTCTTGTTGAGTGTAACATCAGGATGAGCTTATTTCTTTAAAAACGTCAATATTTAAGACAGTACAGTGCAATTTAACAAAAATCATTATTTAATAAACCAAAATTTTAATTATTTATATTTCCCAAGTCACGGCAGTCACATAGTGACTGCCCGGTTGCTAGTGAAATAATAAAATTAAATTAAGTGTCAATAGTAAGATCCCTGTCAATAATAGGGACTTTTACCTTAATTAATGATGATCTAATTTTCATTGAATAAATTAAAATATTAATATAATTTTTATATTTTTCAGGAATAGCAGATCCTTGTGAAAAGGAACCAACAGATGCAATTGGGAATATGACCGCCCAACAACGAGAAGACATAACTGCCTCAGCGCAGCACGCGCTCCGTCTGGTGGCGTTCCGGCAGATCCACAAAGTTCTCGGCATGGAACAGCTTCCCCCTCCCAAGCACAAGGGACGGTTCCCGCGCAAGCGCAGACGCGACAACAGCAATGGCGAGGGCAACGATTGCGAGGCCTCGAAAAAAGACAAAAAGGCCGAAGAAACTAAAATGGAAACAGACTCCAAGTAATTTATTACTCAGTAATTTACTTAAAATAATTATTAATTTAAACAAAATAGATACGAAATATTAATTAACGATAACTAATAATAAATAATAATAAGTTATTAATTATCCATTTACTTGTCACCAGTTTTATAATTAATTACTGCTTAAGATTGAAAAAAAAAAAAAAACAATTGTAATGTTTGCTCTTTCGTCAATTGACTTTTTTTAAGTTTAATTGTACGTAATGAATGAGTGGAATTATTTTATAAAAATAATTAATAATTAATATTTTTGCAATTTATTATGAGTAAATTTTTTTTTTTCAACTTTGAAAGTTTGATTTGGTAAAATTAATTAAAAAAAAAAATATTTGAAGGTTTTATTTAAAAGACAATTGTCAATTTGTAGTACTGTGAAGAGCGATCTGCAGTTAAACAGTAATTAATCGATAAAGTAGTACTGAGTCTTGTGCACGTGTGTTTAGTAATTGATAATTGATGTTTAATTACTATTAAATGCTGAGTAATTTTAAGGATAAATAAGTCGCTAAGTATTAAGTCTGCAACTTAACTAAATCTTTTTTAAATTGTTTAAATATTCAGACAGCGATTTGTGTAATGAGTGTACCGTTACATTGCTAGTTGATTTATACTTATATTTATATTCGATTAACGAGTAATTGGTACTGTTATTTCGGGTTTGAGTTTAATTTTGGCTAAGATCATTGTCATATTGAATGTATTTTTCAACCGTATGGTTTAATTAATAAATATTAAGAAAAGATGTCAGATTTTTGTTAGTTTATTTATGTAAGATTTAGTTTAAGAATTTTTTATTTATTTAATTTATTAATAATAACAATAATAATAAATTATAATCATAAAATTTCAAGTCATCTATATTATTAAGAGAATAAGCAAAATTTTGTGGCCAGTGTATTTATAAGATGAAATGGGTTTTTATGGTTAAATTTGGTATTGTTAGAAAAGTCTTGACCTGGAGTTGTGCCTTTTTAATTTATTATTATTATTTTATTATTCATTTGTAAAGAAACGCCCTCGGCAATTTACATAATTAAGAAATTACCTTGTATCCTAAGATCTATTGACATTTTTAAAGATATAAGCTCACTCCTACATTACACTCATTGAGACCTTTCATTTGAGTACCCACATCAATTTTTCATATATTTTATATATTTATATATATATGTATATATGAAAAATATATCAAAAATGCATGTGGGTACTCGAATGAAAGCTCTTGATGAGAGTAACATCAGGATGAGCTTACATCTTTGAAATTATCAATAATAAAGAAATGACCTTGGATCTCGTGAACTTTTAACATTTTTAAAGATATAAGCTCACTCCGACATTGCACTCATTGAGACCTTTCATTTGAGTACCCACATCAATTTTTCATATATTTTATATATTTATATATATTATATATGTGTATATATGAAAAATATATCAAAAATGCATGTAGGTACTCAAATGAAAGCTCTTGTTGAGTGTAACATCGGGATGAGCTTATATCTTAAAAAACGTCAACAGTTAAGAAAGTAAAGTGCAATTTAACAAGTCATTATATAATAAAGCAAAATTTTATTGATTTATAGTTCACAAGTCACGGCAGTCACATAGTGACTGCAAGGTTGCTTGTTATTATTATTTTTTTAAGATAATTTTCCAAGATGGTAATAATGATGATTTGAATTTTTATTTTCAAAATTCTGGCTCAAGAATTAAAGATATGGTAAAGTTGATAAAGACCTTCTTATGAGAATTCTCAGAGAATTCAATTTTCTGTAAAAAAGGTTTCTTACAATTTTTTTGTATCTTCAATATTTTAGCCACAATTAGTAGTATAAACTTTTGAAAACTAGGGACAAATTCTATGACTTTATTTTTTAACTTTAAGTTTAAATTTTTAAGAAAATAAGAGAGATAAGGTAAAATTTATGACCTTTTTGTAGAAAATTAAATTTTCTATAAAAAAGATCTCCTATAATTTTTTTTATCTTTAATACTTTAGCCAGTATTAGAGTAAATTTATTTAGTAGGTTGAGTAGCAAATACTTTAAAAAATTTTTGAAATTTTAATTAAAACTTTAATATAAATATTAAATTTTCAATTATAATGCCCTCTAAAATTTTAAATATCAATTTTAAAAGACACAGGAACAACTAATAGAAATTTTGTTTTCTTTGTTCTTGAATAATTGTAAGATGGTGCTCAAAAAAAAAAAAATCTAATTACCTTTTTTGAAAAGTTAATATTAAAAAAATTAGAAATTCAATTTTCTCTAAATGTATAATTAGAACAATAGAATAAATAAAATTTATTAAAAATTTGGAAAAAAAAAAATATCTTTCTAATATATTTATTTTTTCTTGAAAATTTAAGAGCAATCCTCAAATTAAGCTCTGAAAAATTTTGCAACTTAAAAATCAATAAAAAAAAATTTATTTCTTCAATTTTCAAGCATAATTTTTTTTTTTAATCATCTTCACAGTTTATTAAAAACAATTTTTTATTTTCAACTTCATAAATAATAAAAAAATAAATTTCTTAAGTAAATAAATTAACTTATCAAAAATCTTATCAAAGAAGAAATAAAAAAGTAAATAATATACTTAGATAATAAATGAATTACTCATACTTAATTCATAATAATAATAACTGTTAACTCCGAGAACTTCAGAAGATTCTAGAATATTTAAACCGACGAATCAGAATCTCGGAAACAAAAACCAGGAAGAAAAAAATGACTCACTTGTACCAACCGATCGATGCCGAATATCTTCACTGCGCATGCGATGACTCTGACGTCAGCGCTGAATCCACCAATAAAATTTCTCGTTTCATGCTTTCTGTTTTCTGCTGTCTCATCCTCGCCAAGCGTGGATATAAAAGGGCTCGTTGTCCTTCTGGTCTTCAGTTGTTAAACTTTTCTCAGCGGCTAACAGTCACTTCTTCAATCAAGTAAAGTTTTAATAAATAAATAAAAATTACACATTTATATCTTCAAAAAGAAATCAAGGTACGTCACTATTATACTCATTTATTGTTTTAAATTTTATTTTTATATAAGTTGATAAATTTCTTGTGAAAGTCTAACGCTAAATTTATTTTTGTTGCATCATAAAAAATTTTTTTTTAATTCTAAATTTTTATTAAATTAATTAGTTTTTAATTATTCAATTTCTTATTACAGAAATAATTAAATTTCTATTTTATTTTATAAAAATAAATTAGGTTACTTTTATTTTTCTTTGTGAGGTGAAGGACAACGGTATCGATCGGCGCCATCTTGTGTTTGGCCTTTGTTCTTTGTTTGACATTTATATTTGTTAATTAAATTTTATTACTGCGTTTGCTGATTTAATTATAAATTATAGTATTACAAAAAAAATTTTACAAAAAGAAATAAATATTAGTTTTTTATTTTGTTTCTAGTGAGTGAAATATTAAATTAATTACTCTGAAATTAGCAGCCATTTTTTTTAGATTTTTTTTTAACTAATAAATTATATGAAAATTAATTTAGAAAATATTTGATAATTTAAAAAAATTTTTTTTAACATATAATGTAGAAAAAATTATTGGCAAAAATCTAAAAAATTTAAACTTTAATTTTTCAAAATTAATTTTTTTGTTAGAAACAATAAAAAATTATAATTTCAGTGTCAAATTTTTGATTTCGTTTTTTTTTACAATTTTTGTATGTAAAATTTTTTTTCTACAATTTTTTCATTGAATTTTAAATGTGTCGAGCCATTACAAAGTCATAAAGATAACTCTCATATTGTGCGTCATAGATGATTATTGATTCTCCTGGTTAGAAAAAGAAAAATAAAAATTAGTGGCAATGTTAATTCTTTATTAAAGGAACTGAAAATATTTATTTATTATTTTGATGTGACTTAAATTTTAATTGCATTTTTTTTTTTTTTAAATTTGTTTAAAAAATTATTAAAATTTTATAAGTAAATTAAAATAGAGTTAAGCGATTTTTTTAATTTTTCTTATTGAAAAATTTTGAACATAAAAGTTGTACATGTAGAAAATTGAACAAAAATCCATTTTTTTACAATATTTTTTTAGTTTTAATTAAATTAATGAAAAAAATATAAAAGTTTGTAAAATGTCTGCTAAGTTCACTTATATTAATTTTTTTATTAACCATGCAATTAAATTTTTCTTTTTAATTGAATTTTTTTATAATTTTAAATTTAGTATTAAAAAAAAATTCAAAATTTTTTTAATATTAAAATTATTTGACAATTTTTTAAATCTAAAAAAATATTTTTTAATCACAAATTTGTTGTAAAAATTAAAAAAAAAATTGTCAGTCTTATTAAATGAAAAAAAAAATTGCTATGATGAAATTTCTATAAATATTTAGTGATGCACAATTTAGATAAAAAAAAAAGACTTATCTAATGAGTCATCAACTAATTTTACTTTTATTTATTTTTACAAACAATATTAATAAATATTTTTTTTTTTTTGTTTAGACACAATGCAGATCTTCGTAAAGACATTGACCGGCAAGACGATCACCTTGGAAGTTGAGGCTTCTGATACAATTGAGAACGTGAAGGCGAAAATTCAGGACAAAGAGGGAATTCCCCCAGATCAGCAGAGATTGATCTTCGCTGGAAAGCAGTTGGAGGACGGACGTACTTTGTCCGACTACAACATCCAAAAGGAGTCTACTCTTCACTTGGTGCTCCGTCTTAGAGGAGGAATGCAGATTTTTGTCAAGACCCTGACTGGCAAGACCATCACCTTGGAAGTTGAAGCTTCTGATACTATTGAGAATGTCAAAGCTAAGATCCAAGATAAGGAAGGAATCCCACCAGACCAGCAAAGATTGATTTTTGCTGGTAAACAATTGGAAGATGGCAGAACCTTATCAGACTACAACATTCAAAAGGAGTCAACTTTGCATTTAGTTCTCCGTCTTAGAGGAGGTATGCAAATTTTTGTCAAGACTCTGACTGGAAAGA